GGGCAATGAGAGGGAGGCAGGAGGTGCAGTGGATGGAACTGGTTTTTGCAGAAACCGAAAAGGCTGTTCCAGCTAATGTGACCCTGGGAGGTTTGTCTGATCATCCTCATTTTCAGGATTAGGAAACTGGGCTCTTTTGGAGCTGGCACAGACTGGAATGGCCCAGGGCTGCTTCTAAAACAGCCCCTTAGGATGCAGCATGCAAAAATGAATGAAAAGAAGTCCAGTGTTGGTGCCTCCCACCCTTTTCTCCCTTCTTGTGGACCAACTCTGGTAAAAATCCAAAATGTATCCGTTTTCTGTGCTGAGGCCAGGAATGGGAATATCTCTGAGTGGGGGGTTGGAGCAGGGAAAGGGGGCGCCTTTCCCGGTTGAGGTTGCTCAGATAGGGAGACGGAACAAGGAGATCAGTGAGAGCTGGCCCTGGGACCTTGAGATACAATGTTAAAGCACACTTTGAAGCGTGGGAACAGTGGGTACCCTGCTTATCACTTCATTGCTCACCATGTTTTTCCAACTCCTCCACATTCTGAAAATGCTATTAAACTTACACTGTACTCCCTACCAGCTTGTTCCTTGAAAGTAACGCATGCTTGTGCTGTATGGATTTTTTTCTGAGCCCTTGAACAAATGTGTTAAAGGTATCTATCTCCAGAGGGCGGTGAAAAAGACCACCACTTACTCAGTGGTAGGTGTGTATGCTGATGATGTTAAGCACCTTGGCCATACACATCAAGTGTTTACTATAAGCTCCTATCTGTTCTTTACAATAAAGAGCAGAAAATTGGAACATGCTTAGATAGATGACTTGAGATGCCTGGTAAATAAATTATGGTTTACTGTACACAATGGAAGGTTCCAATGTGATAGAAAGTGATGCTAACAAAGAGTTAAAGAGCCTGAAGAAATACACAAACAAAAGAAATCAGTGTATGAAATAGTATCTAGTATGATATCAGCTGTGGAAAAATGTAGGAGAGAAATGCAGGAGGAGAGAAAATAAGCAGGGCTTCTGGATTATAGGTGACTTCATGTCCTTTATACTTGACTGTCTGGATGTTTCACATTACATTTAAGATATGGTTAAGGGAGCTTCACATCTTTGACTTTGTAAATTTACTTCTGGATTCTTTAAAAAAATAATTGTAAATACAGATTATGAGCTTTACACACAGAGATGTTCCTTTCATTGTAGATTTAAAACCTGAGATATAGTTCACATATACCATAACATCTACCATTTAAAATGTACAGTTTTTTAAGGGTTTTATTTATTTATTTTTAGAGAGAGGGAAAGGGAGGGAGAAAGAGAGAGAGAAGCATCAATGTGTGGGTGACTCTCACGTGGCCCCCACTGGGGACCTGGCCCAAAACCCAGACATGTGCCCTGACTGGGAATCAAACCAGCGACCCTTTGGTTCGCAGCCCACACTCAGTCCACTGAATTACACCAGCCAGGGCTGTACAGTTTGTTTTTATTGCATTCACAAAATTGTGTGACTGTCACCACTATCTAGTTCTAGAGCTTTTTTTTTTAATCAACTCCAGAGGAAGCCCCGTATGCATTAGTAGTCATTCCCAGCCCTTGTCTCCCCCAGCCCCGGCAGCACTGGTCTACTGCCTGGCTATAGATTTGCCTCTTTTGGACATTTCTTATAGATAGGACCACATGGCGTGTGGTCTTCTGTATCTGGCTTCTTTAACTCAGCACAATGACTTCAAGGTCCATCCATGTTGTAGCCTATGGCAATACTTTATCCTTTTTTTTTTAAGGTTTTAAAATTTATCTTTAGAGGGGAAGGAGAAAGAGAGAGAAACATCAATGTGTGGTTGCCTTTCATGCATCCCCTGCTGGGAACTGGCCTGCAGGGAACCAGCCTGCAGCCCAGGCATGCGCCCTGAGTGGGAATTGGACCGTGAACCTTTGATTCGCAGGCCTGCGCTCAATCCACAGAGCTACACCAGCCAGGGCTACTTTATCCTTTTTAGTGGGTGAATAATACTCCACCGTATGGATAGACTGTGTTTTATATGTGCATTTATCACTTGCTGACCTAGTTGTTTTCACCTTTTGGCTGTTGTGGGTAATGTCGTTATGGACATTTTGTGTGTGTGTGTGGGCGTGCTTCCATTTCTCTTCAGTGTACACCTAGGCATAGAATTGCTGGGTTATAAGGAAACTGTTTAACTGTTTAAGACATTGCTGCCCTGGCTGGTGTGGCTCAGTGGAGTGAGCACAAGCCTGTGAAGGAAAGGGTCGCAGGTTCAATTTCCAGTCAGGGCACATGCCTGGGTTGTGGGCCAGGTCCCCAGTGGGGGGCGCATGAGAGACAACCACACATGGATGTTTCTCTCCCTCTCTTTTTCCCTCCCTTCTTCTCTCTAAAAAGAAATAAATAAAATCTTTAAAAAAATCACTGAACTGTTTCCCATGTAGCTCTCATGAATATTTATACTAGTGGAAATTAGAAAATAAAGTAGCTATTCCATAGTGGGAACGTGTTTAGATAAATGATATCAATCCCCTTAGCGAACTCTTTGTAAAAACTGGAAGTTATTTATTCCTAGACTTTATTCCTATGCTTAACCGGGGCTGGCGGAGCCGCTTCCAAGGAGGTTTGCTCATACAGCTGGCTGTTCGTGCTGGCAGGAGGCCTCCGTCCTTCCCCACGTGGGTCCCTTCACTGGGCTGCTTGAGTGTCCCTCATGGTGTGGTGCTGCTCTCCCCCAGAGCCAGCTCTCCAAGAGAACATGGCGGAAGCACCGTGTCTCTTATGAGTCTACCTCGGAGGCCACACACCGTCCTTTCCACAGTATCCTGTTGGTCGTACAGGTCAGCCCTACTCAGTGTGTCAGGGGTTCACAAGGACCCGAACATCAGGGGCAAGAAGCGTTGGGAGCCATCTTAGAACCTGGCTGCCGTGGCTGTGCTGCTGCAGGCGCCGTATTTCACAGTGTGACGGATGAATCTAGTGAGTGGCTGTATGGGCCCCTCTGTGCTGGCAGCTGCCCCCTTTGCTGCGTGGGATCCCTGTCCTTGCCTTCTAGTGCGCCACTTTTATCTTAGCCAGAAAACTTCATCACTGTCCAGGCTGCTGACAAGTGAGAGTAAACGAGCTCAAAATGTGGGCCTGTGGAGTGGGTAACTTTTCTCGGGGTGCAGAGACCGAGAGCCATGAGTCCTCATCATCGGCTTGCTTTGAGGCACTGATGCTGTGGATGGTCCTGCCAACCCCGTGCTTTGTCTAGAAGGGCAGTGGAATCAGAGACGTGGACTCTATAGAAAGCCAAACTGACATTCACCAAAATGGTCGATGTATTAGATTAGTTTTGGAGCGAGGAGTATGGAAGTGTTATTATAATGACCTGCATTGGTTATTGGACAGAAAATTGAAAACTATGAACTTAGAAAGAATATTTTCATACCAGTTCTGAATTGTAAAGTGAGCAAGGTAGGCTCAGCGGCACTGTGAGGTCCGGTCTCCCACCCGTGTCTGTGAATTAAGTGAGATCACATATGCAAACATGCTTAGACTGTGCCTGCGACTGGGCACTGTTCTCTAGGCTAATTCGTGAACCTAGGATAGCAGAGGTGTGCTCAGGACTCAGTTCCTCTTAAAGCAGCATTGCCTTTGTTGTGGTTTTGTCCCATTTACAACTTGAATCACACACAAAATCCTGCTGTTCCCTGCTTCACTTGGAGCCAGTTCAAGCCAGTCAAACAGATCGGTGCACTGTTCCCGACCCGTAAAGGAATTGTGCTGTGGACGTTGTGTTGTGGGATGGGACCAGCACACAACAGGCTTGCGTGATGTCATGGGGTTTTGAGTACATCGTGTTTGGGAGGACGCCCATGGTGACTGCTACCTTTTGTATGTTTCTCTTTTGATACAGGCTCTAATTTCTGAAAACTGTATGTTTAAAATGAAGAGGAATTGCAATCAGTGCCTTTCTCGTGGTGTTCATCAACTTCTAAATGCTACTAGGAGAGACAAAGCTTTGTTGCTGAACCAGTTTAGGGGACTAACATGTTCAGAATCTGTGGTGGTCTCGTGGGGTTTGGCCGTGGTGGTGGCTTCTCCCTTTCCTGGGGCCGGGGACTCAAACAGAGGTTGTGGGAGGATTGAGTTAGTGAAATTTAGGTTATCGGCTTCCCATGCATGTCAGTCCGTGCATTTATGGAGACTACTGAATAGACAGCTGCCCAGACTCAGACAATTACAGGTGTGGCCCGTTTCATACAAGAGCTGTCTTGTCAATCAGTGTGATTGCAAGGTGTGGGGAGGGGGAGTTCTACTTGAAGAAGCCCATCTGGAAACCTTTTATCTCTCTGTGTCAAACCAAGGTTTTAAATGAGCTGTACTTCAAGGAGAGAAGTCTGTAGACAACTTGATTTTGTTGTTTTTCTCCAGAAAACAAGAGGGACCCTTTCCAGTCTTGATCCCAACTGCATCAGGCACTGAGGCAGTAGTCAGTACGCATCTCCTTGTATCGTTACCCTGCGTGTTTGGATTTTTGTGCTTGGGCAACTGTTATGTTTAACTCCTTAATTTATGATCACCGGCCATAGAAAGATCACATTTTGGCTAGATCGCAGCTGCAATGTCTGGAAAGTTGGGAGCATTTCGCAGGAATGGAGAACAAAGCGGGGCTGCCGTCCTGTTGTTGTGGAAGAGCCGCATTCCACTGTCACCACCTCATTACACACGCTGCTTGGAAGAAGATGCTTGTCTTACCTGTTTTGTAACTTTTGATATGTTTTTGCTGGTATTTAAAGTTGCACTATGAGATAGCGATGATTTTAACTGTGAGTGTACTGATATTGTTACCAATTATTACTTGGGCAAAACCAATGACTTAATTTTCCAAAAGTTGGGGGCAAAACTGGTCAATGAAATAATGTATCATTTCGTATTACAGCCTGATTCTAGAGTTGATTCAGCGAACTCTCACAAAATTGACCCGATATTCAAATTTGCTTTTGTAATTTTATTTTGCAGGATAACAAAGCCACTAACCTTTGCTGATTGTGTTGGAGATGAACTTCCCTTAGGATGGGAAACTGTATATGATAAACAAATTGGAATTTATTACATGGACCACATAAATAGTAAGTAGAATGCCACATTTGAGTTCTTATACATGAGCGAGTTTTCATGTTGATCTCAGAGATGCTAAAAGCTCTTTTTGTAGAGCAAAAGGATCCTTACTGCCCGGTGCATCATTAAACTGGACTTTATAAATGTAGTCTGAAGTTTTCATTAGCTGATTCCTTAAAAAAATGAAGCAGTATGTAGCTGCTTTGCTTGTATGCTGCTGAGGACTGTATGACGTGTGTTTAATGGAGGGTCATAATATCTAACATAAGAAATATCTTTTCCAGACACTTTGGACCTAGAAATACCTCTCATAATGAAAAGGTTGGTTATCACAAAGTGGAGGCTTACACATTCTTGGAATAATTAGCTGACCAAGTGGTTACCTTAACTTCATTTTGGCTTATACGTGTAACTGGAATCCATCAAACCGTTTTGATCTCTGTGAAGGGAGGGAATGGTGTAAAGACTACAGCTAAGACAGCGGGTCCCTGACCACACCCGCCTGCTTTGGAGGACTGTTTAGAGCAGTGGTTCTCACCAGGGCTTATTTTGCCTTCCAGGGACACTAGGTAATATCTGGTAATAGTCAACTGTCACACAGGACAGAGGGGCCTCCCGGAGTCTAGTGGGTAGGGGCCAGGTATGTTGCCAAACCTGCAGTGCACAGCACAGGATGGCCCCACGAGAGAATGCGCCGACCCCGAATGTCAGGGTGTGCCGCGGGTGACACACCCTGCCTCACAGGCCCCATTTCATTCTAGATCTGTTCTCCATCACTGACTCACTGCTGTGTTTCTGTCATTGTCCTTTTTACTAGCAGGGACATAAAGCATGGCTTCCCCTAACTGTGTTTTCCGTCCTCTGGTGTGTTAAGTGTGGGGCAGGCTAGGGAGCCCGACGATGCCCCATGCCCCTCACATGAGTGACTTCGAAGCTCTTCCCTCCCTCTAGTCCCATGGCTTTGCATGTCCTCTTAGTGTGACTGGCCCAGGTTGGTGCCTTTAGGGTCAATTCCTTCATTGTCACTTGCCAAGTTAGCCTCTGAATGGCAAATGTGAGTGGCAGTCATGTACTTTACAGAGTGGTCCTCCGATATTTAATCTGAAACTTATACAGAATAATATTGAATGTAAACTGAAATTGAAAAACAAAACCAAATAAAACAAAACATAGAAGGAGTTGATACACACACCATTCCCTGAGGATAGTGTTGTTGTACACCCAACCCGGATTAGATAGTTAAACAAGAAAGAAACATGCTCATTTGTCACATTAAAAACTTAAAAATATTAATATGCATGGTGTTTACTCAAAGTATGCAAAAATGGTCTAATCTAGAGAATTACTAATTCAAGCATAATTTCTTCAGTTACAATCGAAGAACAAGAAATGAGTTGTAGAAATTCTCAGGATTAATCTGAAATGCACATTTTTAATGAGCAAGTTTTTCAGTCATTATTTTCTCTTTTCCTTTTATGTTTGTTCTAGTTCTATTTATTGAAATTTAATTTTATGTTCATTCAATCAGATAATAAAAAATTTGAGCTAAAAAAAAAAAAAAAACCTGAATGGCCAGGCTTCTCATGTCGGCCCTGGGGCAGTGCCATTTCTGAGACGTGGCACTCAGCCTTGCGCTCTACTGTAGCTCTTACCCAAAGATTGGGCACTCGGCATAGGTGCTAGTGGCAAGAGGGCTTCTAGGTGAATTCACCACCCTGGCCGACCCGCTAGTATGTTTTTGGGGTGTCTGGCCATCTGGGCTTACTTTCCCAGCTGCTGGTGGGAGCGCCCACAGTTGAGGGCCGCTCCTACAGGGGAGAGTAGTTCTCTTAGGGGAGGGCCACTCCCACAGGTGAATGCAGCTTGCAAAGGTGAAAGCAGCTCCTACAGGTGAGGGCAGTTCCCACAGGGCAGAGCCACTCCCACAAGTAAGGGCAGTTCTCACAGGGAAGGGCCACGCCCACTGGGAGGGCCACTCCCACAGGGGAGGGCCGTTCCCACAGGTGCAGGCCCCTCCCACAGGTGCAGGCTGCTCGGCCGGGTCGCTGTGTTATGGGCCTGCGCACAAAATAGCTTCATCTCCAAGCTTTCGCCTCTAGGGCCCAGGTGGTGTGACTGAGCAGCAAAGGCATCTGCCTTACACAACCTTTCTGGAAAGTCGGCCTGCCTGCCGCTGGAGGCCCGGGACCTGTCCTGGCTCGTCCCTCATAAACTCATCCCTCCATGGCCCCTGCTCATCTGCTGCTGAATCACAGCAAGTGTGGTAGAGGTCTCTCTGTTCTGGCCCCTCTTTAGGCCCTGGGGACTCAGGAAAGTGAAACCCAGTCTCCACCCTGAAGGATTCGACAGCACACTCTAGACATTAAGGACTTTCTTAATGCCACCTTGAGCGTAACTGGGTTGACACAGCACCCAGAGGGGACATGAGTAAACACATCACCTCCAGGGTCACGCCACCTCTTCCCTCTGAGGTCTTTAGAAAATCCCCCCTTTTTTTCCCTAGGAACAAGAAAGGTTATTATCGTTGTAATAATGTGTACATAGGGGGCCAAAGACCCCATTCTAGAAAACTCACTCCTGAGAAGCCGACTCTTGGTAGCACAGCTTTCAGAAAGCACAGAACCTGAGGAGGCAATTCTATTAAATTGGAGCTGTGCAGGTTGACAGTGGGATAGGGATCAGAGGGACCCTGGGTTGACCACCTTGAGGAGCCCAGGACCCTCTGGTGCGCTGGACAGAGTGCTGACAATGCTGGTCATTGCAGCAGGTCTCATAGCCGAATAAATGTCAGAGACATCGGGCAGTTACAAACAGTTGTGGCTGTACTGCCCCAGGCCCACTGAATCTGAACTCCGGGGCTAGGGCCAGACTCTGCTTTTTGCTGTTTTCTTATTTCCCCATGTAAGCTTTTAAAGCCAGGAATGGCTTTCTAGGAGGGCCCTGGGGTGGCAGTGTGAAGGGGGGGTGAGGGGTGTTGGTGGGAGGGGGTTTGAAAGAACTTACTTGAAACATCCTAGGAAGCATTCATGTGTGTGTGTATTAAAGTAAACTAGACATAAAATTTCCATTTTTAACCATTTTGAGTTGAAATGCACAGAATATGAAATCAACCATTATAAAGTGTACAGTCCAGTGGAGTTTGGTGCCTTCTCAACATTATACAACTGGCACTCCTGTCTAGTTCCAGAACATTTCATCACCCCAAGGTCAAATCCCGAACCCATGAGCAGGCACTCCCCATTTCCCCTCCGTCTCCGAGCCCCTGGCAACCACCAATCAATCTCCTTTCGGTCTTCATGGATTTGCCTGTTCTGGAATTTCATGTAAATAGAACCAGATACTATGTGATATTTTGTATCTGGCTTCTTTCATCATGACGGCTTTGAGGTTCAAGCACGTGGTAGCCTTTGCTTCATTCAGTGCTTCGTTCCTTTTTACGGCTGAATAATACTCCACGGTGGATCCATTATACTTTTTCATCCATTCCTCAGGAGATGGTGGAATTAGGGTTGTGATAGCGCTGCTCAACACCCACTGCAGGGGTTATTTTGCATATTTATTTAGAATTTGGGTGGGGGGAATTGGACCAGCCTTTCTCTCCTATGAACTATCTCTTACTTTGTTTTGGCTGCCAGCAACCTGCATATGCTTATCAATATGTCAACATTATAGCAGAGCCACCATAGCCTGGGGACACTAACGTGGAACAGGGACAGTGCTTTCCATTTTTCACTTGTGTTGAAACCACCCCCAGCAATTTCTCTTGCAAGAAGAGAGTTAGCCTTTCCTGAGTCTGGGCGTCTCGTCTGTTTGCTCAGTTCGCCCCTCTGCGTAAGGATCTGATTTCAGGACTGTAGTCCTCTGTCCTTGGAGCAGACTTTTTCTTCCGTTCCTCATTCAGTGAGCCCGCAGTCAACAATTGATGGCTCTCTGGGTTTCAGGCTGATGAAGGGTCCTGAGAATATGAAGATGACCGAGGCTGTGTGCCCGCCTTCTAGGGGTTCGCACTTTATGTAGGAAACAAATATAAAAACGATTACATGCTAGTGGGAAGAACAGCAGTGTTGGCCATTGTATAAAGACGTGTGTTCTCTGAGGGCAGAGAAGGCTTCAGAAAAGAGGTGTCTTGGCAAAAAGGGACTTGGAAGAGGGTAAGGTCCTCAGTGGGCAGGACAGGAGCAGCAGGAACAAATGCACAGGTGAGCAATGCCAAACATGGGGACTTGGAGGAAAAGTCAGTCTGTTTAGAGGATGTTTGTGGGGGAAAGGACAGAGAAGCTGGCAGCTGAGTTTCAGGACTCACAACATAACATGCGGAGGATGTTGGACTTTGTGCTTTAAAAGAGGCTCATGTGTTCAGGAATTTCAAGCAGAGGTAGAAAGGCAGCATGAGCCCTTACGGCAGCTTGTGGGGTGAGAAAGGCAAACTGGAGAGTGGGGAGTTCATGGATCGGAGGAGACAAGCCAGTCCATGAGGAATGCAGATGGGCTGCAGGTGTGAGGTGGGAGCGATCTGGGCCTGAGGGCAGCGGAGCCGCCGGCACCCTAGTCAAAGAGGTCAGTGAGCAGAGGGCTGGAAATCGTTCATCTCTGCCAACAGTTGTTTATAGTTTGAAAAGTTATCTAGTATTGTCTTCCCCCTCCAGTCAACCATTTCATATTTATGGACTTTTCTCCGTATTTTAACTGTGGATGCAAAAATAGAAGTGTTCCATACTCTGGGGAGGTTTGTTATGTAGACTCTCTCATAATGTGTATCTTGGTAATTCATTTTCATATTGACGCGTCCCATAACCACACGACTATTAGTCAACCTCAAGATTTGACTTTGAAGTCACTTGCATTCTTTGTGTGTGTGTGTTTTACTTACATCTCATGCTTTTCATTTCAGAGCTGACCCAGATTGAGGACCCCAGAGAACAGTGGAGGCGAGAGCAGGAACGGATGTTGAAGGAATATTTAGTTGTAGCCCAGGAGGCTCTCAATGCCAAGAAAGAAATCTACCAAGTTAAGCAGCAGCGGTTCGAGCTGGCTCAGGAGGAGTACCAGCAGCTGCACAGAATGTGCGAGGATGACAGCCGCTCGTACGCCAGCTGTGAGTTGACTGACTCCTTCAGTTAACATGTGCCATTTCAAAGCCATTTCTCTGCTAGGTTATCTGCAAACACCAAACTTTACTCGGGCAAGAGTGCTTCATCAATTTTTTATTCCCGTACCATTAGGTCATCAGCAGGCCGCAGTGGAATCAGATGGTCATCTGCTAGCCACTCCTTTAGCAAATACTTATCAAGTGCCCACTTTGTGCCCAGGCACTGCGGTACCGTGGCGCGTAAGAGACGACGGGCCCCTGCCCTCGTGGAGCTTACATTCAGGTGGGGAAGGTGAAAAACACGCACATTTCAGGTAGTGACATGAAACAACCTCGTGTCTCCTGTTTGTCAGTGTGGAAAAGACCTCTGCGGTTAGAACTGTGCCGGGTGATCCTTGGGAAATCTACACAATGCTTCAATGTCATGTACCTGTCTCTTTGTAGGGTCCTTTCTTGGGCAACCACCAGAGGTGGAGGAACTCAGGGAATCCGGGGAACTCTTTCTGCCCCTCTAGTTAGATAGACACACACCAGTGTTCTCAAAGGGAGCCGCTCATAGTTTAGGAAGCTGCCAAAGGTAGGCCCCTGTTTTGTTAGTAGTTAGTAGATACTCAGGTATTGAAGGAGCCAGGTCCAGTCTTGGAAGTCAAGGCATTCTGTTATTAACTCCATCAGTCTGGCTGAGTCAGTCCCTGGCCACGTTTAACAACCCACCACAGGTACGCATGGCCGTGACTGTCCTGGGTACCACAGAGCCTGGGGAGAATGAATGTACCTGCTGAGCACTAGGTTTTATTTTATAAAACCAAAGTGTACTTGAGACATGAAAAGACTTACCTGTGACATGACTGCCACATTGCCAGGTATTTGGCTCTGGTGACACAGCTCTGAATATTAGACACATGGTCAGAGCTTTTCTTCTGTGTTGCAAGTCAGAATGGAGTTAAGGCTAAGGGGCCATAGATCTTTATTTTACTGCAGCTGTTGTTGAAGGCAAATAAGCCATGCAAGCTGTGAGGGAGAGAGAGAGAGAGAGAGAGAGAGAGAGAGAGAGAGAGAGAGAGAGAGAGAGAGTGAGGTGTCTCCCCCACCCGCAACAGCAATTTCAGATCGTTCTCTTAGCACATGCCTCAAGAGAATGTAGGGCCTCAGGTATAATGATATGTTGTTTCCAGGTGGTTTTCTCTCTTGTTCTTCAGCTATTGGTATGTCCTAGACATTTTTTCATTTTTGTTTTTCTATTTTAACTTCTCATCAAAATGTGACAAGTCAGCTCCGTGCTAAATTTTAGGGGCTGGTTTCTTATCTCCATAGTTTTTCTTTCTTTTTTTTTTTTTTTAAAAATGTGTTTTTCTGATTCCGATATCAGGATAATACTGTCCTCACTGAACGAATTGGGAAGTGTTCCTTCCACCTCTCTTTTCAGAAAGAGTTTGTGTGGGAGTGGTATTAACGCTTCCTTGGCCATTTGCTAGAATTCACCAGAAAAGCCATCTGGGTCTGGATTTCTTTGTGAGAATGTTTGTAAGTACAAAATCCATTCCTCTCATAGATAGAGGTCTGTTCAGATTCTCTGTTTCTTTTTCAATCAGTTCTAGTATTTGTATTCGTCAAGGAATTGGTCTACTTCATCGGATCCTACTGTCAGTAAACTTTCCTCTAAAGGGTCAGGTAAAAAATATTTTCAGCTTTGTGGGCCACATGGACTCAGTCGCAACTACTTACTCAACCCTCTTCTACTGCAAAAGCAGCCAGAGACCATGTGTGTGGCTTGTTCTGAGAGAAGTATAAAAACAGGTAACAAGCTGGAATTAGCCCACAGGGAATTAGTCAGGTTTGTCGAGTTTTCTCAGAGTTCTCTTATAGTTCTTTTAATTCCTGGGGGCTCTGAGGTGGTGTCCTCTCTCTTTCATTCCTGATCTTTATCGTATGTCTCTTCTTCCTTCTCTTAATCATCATAGCTGACGTGTTATCAATTGTATTTATCTTTACAATCGACTGGCTTTTGGTGTACCTTTTCCCTCTGTTTCTTGTCTGTTTTTATTTTATTGCATTCTCCTCTTTATTGTTTCCTTCCTTCTATTTAGTTTGACTTTGATTTGTTCTTCCTTTTCTAGCTTCCTAAAGTGAAAACTCAGATAATTGATTTTAGACCTTTCTTATTTTCTCACATGGACTCTAAAGGTATAAATTCTTGTCTAAGTGTCACTGAAACTGCATTCCTCAAAATTTGGTGTTTTCCTTTTCAGTCAGTCCAGAAATGTTCTCATTTCCTTTGTGATTTATTTTTTGACCCATGGGTTCTATGAAAGTATGTGGTTGGGACTTTTTAAAGGTGTCATGTTGTTGATTTCTAATTTAATTCCACTGAGGCTGGAGACTACACTAAGATTTCAGTTTTTTGAAATCTATTCAGACAACTTTTATGGCCCAGCACATGGTCCCTTTTAAGTGATCTCGTAGGGTTGGGAGCCCATATGGACTCGGTTCCTCGAAGTCACACCCAGCCGAAGCACGGGCTTTGAACTGTTTCTGAGAACACATAGTTAGCAATTCTAAACTTTTCAGAAAGTTACTCAGTAGAAGCTAGGCTGGCCCATATAAAGTTGTCACTTCTGTAGCTTAGACTGGGCTGAATATTGGTAATTTCATATGATTCAACCTTCAGACACCTTTTCTGTTCCATGGTCCCTTTTGGATAGGTCTCCAAAGAGGCTCTCCAATCAGTGTTTCCAAGGATGGAACGGGAGAGAAGGACATATCAGGAAAACTTGAAAGGAAGTTTCTTGCCAGTGACGGAAAGGAAAAATTGCCCAGGGAAGGTGTGTCTTACCTACTGGCTACTATACCAGGGCAGTCAGGACATCAGTTGCAGTGAGCTTGGGGACTCAGGACTGGAGCCCTTGAGGATGCAAATATAGCGGGACCTTATTGCAGCCCTGGGATTCCACACCCAGCCCGAGGGGGAGTGAGGTTCTAGGTTAAGGGCATTCAGAACTTGTAGTCCTATGGAGCTGGGACATCCATCGGCATCCATTTTTATATTTTCATGGGCTTTGTACTCCCCTCACACTTGGTCAAGTAGGGAATCACAGTCAGTTACATTCCTTCCTGTGCTCAGGGAATTTTATTAATGCCCAGTGAAAAAGAAGCTCTGGAGATGCTGTCTTCAGAGTGGTGTACGAAGAAACCTACAGTACAGGAAGCAGGTGACTGACTCTGTGGTGTTGACTTGAAATTCTAACATGCTCATCAGATTCCATTTCCTGACCCACTACAAGTCTCTGCGTAGATACAGCCCCCACATCTACTTGTGTAGGTTGCCTTGGAGGTCAGATTGGGCCTGCCTGTTTTCATGAAGGGCTGGAGATGCCACCCAGGTCATATGTCAGAGACCATGAATGGCATCTAGAGTTAATCCAGGCAGTTTATCAGGTTTCTGCTGCCCCTGGGTTTTGACCATGCTCTAGCAATTTGCCATTTACCCTAAAGTTCCAGTCGCAATGAGGAAAATTCTTAGATATGACTCAAACGTATTCTTTTTGGCCACAAAATAAAGTTCAAGAGCGTGATCTCACCGGCTTGAATTGTCATGATCTAACCGATGTCGCCTGTAGAGGTCTGGGCCCACGTCAGGAGCTGCTGGTGGTAGGATCCAAAGCATTCCTGAGCTGCACGCGGCCAGGCCAGCCAGGTCTCCCACAGCCTAGCCCCCTCGCAGCGCTAGTCCTGTAAAGTGGGGAGGTGTGCCCTTGTTCTGCTCCTAGAAGCAGGTTGACATTTGGACTCATTTCCCATTATTCCTTCATCGTTAATGACTTGAAGCTAAGGGAAGCAATATTCAGTGAACTACTGTTTTCTGTGCATTGTTATGATTGTAACATTGTGAAGCACACATTGCAATGTTATCTTCATTGGACACACGAGGGGCTGATGTTGGGGAGGCTAAATTACTTGGAGGTTACATACTCAGTAAATGGTAGAACGTGGATTTGAATCCGGAACTGGTTGTGTATGTAGTCTTCAGTGCTCTGTACTGTTTCCTAGATATGGAAGAGGCAGCTTACAAGAACCGATTGTGTTTTTGGAACACCTTGCCCTCCCATTGTTCAAGTTATCTGGAATTAAAGACCGGTTGTAAGTTGACAAGTCATCTATTTTGCAACACTCAATGGGGCAAGTGGAAGGCAGAGCACTTTCTACTTTTTGACTTTCTCATGGTCCACGGTAGGATTGCTAAACTGTTCATTTAGTTTTCAGGAGATATTTCTGTAGCACCTGGTGTTGCTATACACTAAATGTTGGGGACCTAATTTATGCCTAATGGCTAATTATAGGGGGAAATGAAGCAGTAATGGTAAACAAAAGAATGATCTAGAACAGCCATTTGTCATATTGGGGCTGAAGGGTATAGAGGAGGGCGGAGGGAGGAGAAGTGCATCTTGCTCACACCCTTCACAGATTTTCCCGGGTTATGGAAATCACCAGGTTAAAACTCCATTCATTGGAGACTTTGTATGAATATTGTGCCATCTGGTATCTAAGAATATGTAAGACTTGACTTTTTGTCCCTGACCAAAGCAGACTTAGATGCTTTGGTGGATTTGAGCATGCATGTCGCCAGAAGGTTAAGAACCCAACTTGATTTGTATGAACTTGTGAGCTAGCTGGTTGGTACCCGGTCCTGGTAGGTTTTCCACAGCTCCATTTTGCAAGAGTTTTTGTCTACTTTGTTTACGCTAATATGTTCTTCTGTTTGCCTTCTTTTTCACATCAAATACATTCGTTATTTCAGAAAGTTTTTTTTTTTTCCCTGGAGTTACTCTTTCATTCTTCCCAAGAAACTCTAGCCTCCGGACGCGTTCAGATGAAGTATATGACCATTTACAGCATCTTTTGGAAGGGATTCTTGCATGGGGTAAACTATAGTCTTAACCACAGTTCACCAAATTATGGATGGCCCACAGATTATAAAGTGTGTCCACTCAGGGTATTTGTAAATAAAGTTTTATTGGGATACAGCCATGTCTGTTCATTTACCTATTGTCTATACCAGCTACAGTGGCAGAGTGGAGTTGAGACAGAGACTGTATGGCCCACAAAACCAAAAATATTCACTATTGGGCCCTTTGCAGAGAAAATTTCCCAGCCCCTGGTGCACACCAATTGTTCTCAATGATGCCTGGCTGCATCATGGAAATCTCCTGGAGGGCTTTTAAAACCCCCTGCCGCCTGGGCAGAGATTTCAATTTAATTGGTCTTGAGCGGGGCCAGACAGTTTTTTAAAAAGCTCCCCAAGTGATTCCCAGATTTGAGATCCACTAGTTTAGATCTATTCTTTTAGCAGCAGGAATATGGCTGTATTTGTTACCTTAGCTCCTAGGAGCTCCCAGAAGTCCGCACCAGAAGTCTCTTTGGGTGGCTGGGAAAGAGTCAGCCTTATCTCTGTTGGGAAAGTGCTGATCCACCCTGAATTCCTGAGTTAGGTGGTGGTGAAGCTTGACCTTATCAGTGATCAGTGCTGCCAACATTCTTTCTGAAGCCCCAAGGCCCTCCCACAAAGACTATCTTCCTTTAGTTCTCTGGTAAAGGGTTTCTCATCTACTATCTAGATTAGGCTTCGGGCCAAAGTCCATCCATTTAGCCTTTTGTTTCCCCTCTTTGGAGCATGTTGGAGCAGGCAGGGGAAAAATGGATCACACAGCATTTTTCACAGGTATTAATTGGCAAGACTCAGTCTTGAATGTTGTAGTAGAGCACGTGTTTACTGAGAGATCATCCCCCAGTCTGTTCTCTTTGCATTTGGTGGCTTCTTGTGTTACTTCGGTAGCTCTTGAGTAGGCCTGATTTTTTTGATCCTTTGCTTATGGTACCTTTAAAAAATGTTCATGCCCTCCTTTGTTGACCTCAGTTATCCCTGCTCTGGTAATTAGTACCTGTCAGCATGGAGCCGGTCAGGGCTTGCCTCCTTTCTGCCAGTCTTTGCTGGCTCTTTTGAGCAACCCCTTACAGTGCTGATGCTGGGGGTGCCCCTGGTCTTGAGCCATCTGTCCAGAGGATGTCTTTGGAGAGACAGGGACAGACACACACACAGCTTCCCTCTTCCAATAACCCGTGCAATTGAAATCCATGATAAGTACTGTGGTCTGTAGCACTTTGAGTGTTAAATCCACAAGTCTAGTTCAGCTAGCAGGCAATGGGCTTTAGCGAGCCAGAGGGCCATTTCTTCTTCCACTGGAAAAGCTAATCAGATGAGAGGATGTTGGATAGCTGACCCATTGGAGGCCAAGTTCCAGGCACAGGTCCCTCTGTGACTGATGGCATAAAGCAGATCAAGTCACTGCACACTCAGTCTGGAATCTATAAAGTGGGGGAGTATCATCATCACCTCTCACAAAGATTTTTATGAGAATAGATGAAATAAATGTGAAAGGCACCCTATAATAGCAAGGACCAATAATTTACATTGTTGTGGTCCAGATGAACGAAAACCTTGTTATTATGTCATTGAAAACAAAGTGTGTACCTGAGTGGACTCCTTAAGCTATTTAATAGCTCTGCCCACTCAGCTCTTCAACAGAGAAGAAAGCTTCAGAGGTGAAAGTCTGGTATTTATCATAAACCCTGAGATTGGAGACATGTCTTAACAGAGGAAGATAGTTTTTCTCTAAATGATGTACAGCACACGCTGTTAAAAAACAGAGTCTAGACTCCTGAGCTATTTCTTGGATTCCAGAAATGGATTCCATTAGTCTTACTGGCAGACATGAGGAACTGAGAACTTGCATAAATCGAATTATATTATTAAAAGTTAGGCCAGTGTTCACAACTTTCCTTAGCATTTGAAGATAAGGTATGCTCATGGTCTTAGGTGCCTGAGCTGACTTTTCCTTTATCCCAGGCCTGGAATTTTATAATTTTCGAGGCTGTATCAAGGCTAACATGAATGGTATCAATAGAAGCAAAACCTAGTCTATCATCTGGGATGGTTTCAGCTGTTCAGTCACAGACGAGACTAACTCCCATGGGCCTAGACAATAAGGAAGTCCTCCAAGGTGGAGTGGCTTCCTGTTGGTGGATTCGGTGGCTCAGGGATGTCCTGTTTCATGAGTAGACTCCTTAGGGAGGAGTGGTGGATGCCCAACAACCTCAGGCTACTGGTAGTCAGGAGGGAGAAGGGGGGGGCAGGTTGCCATGTATTTGTCCAAGTGTACCTGCCACACCTCCCATGTGCATTTCACATTTTGTGGCAATGATTTCAGATCATTGTTACTGATGTCTAACATTGCGCTTCACTTCCCTGGACTTTGGTGGCGGGGTTACTTTCTACCCCAGTGGGAAAGATCCCATGTGGTAATTGTTGGCATGGTCTTCCTCAGCTGCAAGGTGACAAGTTGACACAGTGGAAATGAGGAGTCAGCAAACCTTAGGCTCATTTGCATATTGTCTGGCTTCCAAGTGAAAGCCCCTTAAGCTCAGGTCTGAGAAACTTTTAAGTCCCAGGAGTTTAATGCGGAGATTTTATAGAAATGATTTCTGCCTCTTCAGGGCATTGTCTGAGGTGTTGCTTTCATTACTGATCTTCGGTGAAACCAAAGAGTCAGACAGAATAGAATTTGTAGGATTTGGAGATAGACATTCTTCATCTAAGAAAGAATTCTACTTAAAAACCATTTTATTCCGTGTCTTGAGAGATTACGATTCTAAATATAAGAACATAAAGTTGGCAAACACTTAGCTCCTCCAGATATTTATTTCCAGTGGATTCTAGAGGTTCAAAATTCCGACAGAGTAGATTTGCCATAGAACTGTTTTTTTTAAAAAAGAGGTATCTCAACTCCCCAAATTAACTTTGAATATAATTAGGGCTGTTAAATAATCTTGCTGTTGAAGCCATTTGATGGTTTCGAGCCACCCTTTGCCATAGAAAGTCAGAACATGGTTTTGAACTAGTTTCTAGGTGTTGGCAGCTAGTTATCTGAATGACAGCCCTCGTTCCCCAGATCAGAGGAGTAAAAGAAAGGATGCTGGCCCTGCTGATGGGTATTCTGAGCAGGTGACATTAATGAAACTGACCTGGAGGCAGAGGACACCAGTGTGGGGTGACCATAGAAGCAGACAGAGCAGTGCTGCACCACCTAAGGAAGGCATGGAATGCAAGTCACTGTAGCCAGAAGCTGATGGCTTGAGGAGCCTCAGAGCAAGGAGAGAGAAGCGTCAGGAGCTGGCCATGCTCAGGGGTGTAATGAGAAGCAGCCACTAGCTGCTGCAGCTGCTGAAATGGCAGAAGGGGCTTGTGGCTTTCAGTGCAGATAGAAATTGGCTAACGGCTTAGCATCCACAGGGGAACGTCTCTTTGTGTCTCCCCTACCCCCAGATATTGGCTCCTCATAGAGATGCCGTGGCCGTAAGGAGGGTACGGCCTGTGCACTGCACCATTTAAGAACACATTTAGGTCTGTGATGTACTGTAGCTAAACAGCCATCAAAAACAAGGTGCCAGAAAAAAAGAACGGGTGCTTCCCTTTTGTTCGTGTGGAACAGCCTAGAAGAATAGCTGTTCTACAGCTATTATCAGCCAGTATCTGACAGGCACATTACTAGAAAGTTGTCTTTTTCATTTTGCAGATCTTTAGTATTTTGTTCTTTCTTATGTCAAAAATTGTTCCAGACAATCGCAGTTCGAATCCCAGTCAGGGCACATACCGGGTTGCAGGCCAGTTCCCTGCAGGCCAGTTCCCAGCAGGGGATGCACAAAGGACAACCATACATTGATGTTTCTCTCCCTCTCTCCTTCCCTTCCCCTCTACAGATAAATAAATAAAATCTTTAAAAAAATTGTTCATCTGGGGACTATAGATATGAAGGAAATAAGAATAAAATCTTTTGTAATGAAATCATTGAAAATAACCATAGTTGACTTTTTGGCTCTGTCCTTCCAGAGACTTCCGTGTGTGTGCGTTTTAAAAGAAAGTAAAAATGATTCATAGTACATGTACTATTTACACAGTAAGAGCAGTTTTTCATAGTTAATCATACCTTTCCCTCCTCATACGTATGTGGTTTTTAAGCCTACTAGTTTTGCAGTCGATGTAAGCAGAGTTTTGATTTACCTGTAGCCACCTATTTTACTATGTGGGACCCTATAGAAAGGCCTCATGCAGAAATCAAACATCCACACTTGAGGGTGGGAAATGCTGATTTCTCTAGGAGCCAGTGCCAACTTGTAAATCTGAGACTTAATTATTTAATACAATGAATCAGAAATTCCTATCTATGTGTATTTATTTATTTCAAAGGATCCATTCTAATATAAAATATTTTCCTTCTCTTTAGCCTTCTCTGGATATTCAGCAAATACAAAGTATGACCCACACCAGATTAAAGCAGAAATAGCAAGTCGCCGGGATAGGGTGAGTAAAACAAATGTTCTCACAACGACATGCCCCGTATGTATTTTTACATAACACCACTTATCCTGGTTTATTTGGGGGTGGTCAGTGTGTCTAACACTTGTAGTTTAATAAGATTTTCGATTTCATGGACCATTATTGTATTTGGTTGTACTCTCCACTTGTTTTCAATAGGAGGGAAAACGTTTCATTTTAAAACCTCAGCCCATCTAACAAGAGTCGCCTGTGTTCCCGTGTGTACCTACCTTTCTCCCCCTCAGCCCCTGCTCTTGATTGCGGGGGGAGGGGGTCTGTTTTGTCGCACTGGCATGGAAGCCTGGGAGACACCTCGGAGATGAAGCCTCCTGCTGTGGTTGGTGTCTCTGTCCCCAAAGCAGAAGGGTATCTTTCGGGGCTGTGGTTCTCAAATTCTAGTGCACCTAAGAAAAGCACCTGGAGAGTTGGTTCGCCAGGCGAGCTCCTGGGCCCACCCCCTGAGCTTTAACACAGGCCTGGGGCCGGTACCAGAACCTGCTTAAATGAGACCATGCTCTCAACAGCCGGGCTTCACACTGGGCTCTGTGAGTAGCAAGAAAAAGGGAAGATGGACAAAATGTTAACACACTTTGCTAATTGTAACGAGCAAATCGATACCTTGGAAGGGAAGATAGTTGCCATTCCACCTGCATAGGAACAGTCTGGGACTTTGGTTTGTAAGCAAAGCAGTTCATTCTTCCAGGGTGGCTGTTTTTTTTTGTGTGTGTGTGAATGGAAGTTCATGGAGACAGTAGATGATACAGTACATTGCAAGCTAATCAGAAACTTCAATGACAGTGATAACAACTGTAGAAATAATTTTTCACAGCAAGTTTTTGTGAAAAAAATGTTATTTGTCTCTAGCTTTCCAGATTGAAACGGGAGCTGACCCAGATGAAGCAAGAACTGCAGTACAAAGAAAAGGGGGTGGAGACCCTGCAAGAGTGAGTTGCCTGGGGTCATAGACGGGAGCTTCCCGAGGTTTCCTTCTGTGCTGACCTTGCCGGTGCCTGGACATGAGTCCTAACGCTTCAGGGGCACCCACTTCTGTGCTTTTGTTTGTGCCCTTTCGTTCTCAGCCCAGAGCCTCAGAATCTCTGTTTTGCCTGAAGAGGTTTCGTTCCTTTAAATGAAATGACTGGGGAAATGGGACCTTTATTTTATTTTTATGCACATTCTCAATAGCTGCACATGGCTGCTTCCATTTGAATTCCAGTTTTGTTAGTTTTAGTCTCTTACATTTTTTAATTCTAAAGGTTAAAATCAAATTAATTAAAATAAAAAAATTACATCCCCCAGTCTCAGTAGCCACGTCTTAAATGCTCAGTAGTCACATGTGGCTAGCGTAGACTCTCTTTACCTCAGCGCCATTGACCCTTTGGACCAGAGAACTGTTTGTGGTGGGGCTGTCCTGTGCACTATAGGATGTTTAGCAGCATCGTTGGCCTTGGCCCCCTAGATGCTGGTAGCACCCTCCTGCCCATCTGTGACAGCGAAAAATGTCTGCAGACTTTGCCAAGTGTTCCCTGGAAGGCCCATTTGCCCCCAGTTGAGCACCAGTGGGCTAGCAGCTATTGCATTGGACAGCACAGTTCATGGAATATTTCCATCCCCACAGACCATTCTGTTAGACAGTCTGGTCTATAGATCTTCCTCCTGTTGGCATTTTTACAATGAAAACTTCATCCCTACTAGGAGTTTGGGGATGGGTTTCTTATTATTTGTGAGCTTTATTAAGTCAGCAAATTCAATGAACAAAAGTTATTTTATAAGCGGTGATATTGCTGGTCTGCAAGAACTAATTTTCTTAAGAAAGGGCATCGTATGCTTGTTGGTGAAGATTCTCTCTTCCTGCAGAGCCTGGCTTCACGTGCTGAACTTGGGCATGTGCTTCACCACTTCTGTGCCTACTCTTCTCACGGCCAATGGGGATTGCCTTCGCCAACTTGGCTGCTAAATACCTTAGATCTGGGGATGTAAACAGGAGACATTTCCTGTCACAGTTCCTACTTCTTGCTGTGCCTTCACAGGGTGGGGGTGTTGAGGGAGCTCTGGTCTTTGATATCTCTTCCTTCTCTTCTAAGGATGCTAATCCCATTTTGGTGCTCCACTCTCAGGACTTTATTACCTAGGTCTAATCACCACACAAGGCCCCATCTCCAAACACCATCCCATTGGAGAGGGGCTGGCACGATCCAGTCCCTAGCAGCTGTCATCGGGATAAATTGTCCAGAAGGCAGCACCAGCGCCTGCTACCTAGTCAGCCTCAGCAGACGGCAGGAATTGTGGGTGTTTTCAGTGAGGCGGGCAGCTTGCCTCTCTCGTGCAGCCTGTGTGCAGATGCAGGGATGGTGTCAGATGCGACTGCATTATTGCTCTTTATAGGGAGGTGCTGTGTGAGTGCGAGCATTTGACAAATGTAACTATCTCTGCCTCACATAAAGGGTAATTACCGGGCATGTCAAACCTTGTGGTTTAACACTAGGTTCAGCCTCGCTTTTTGAATCATCCAGGATTGATTTGGGTGATGATTCATTTGGCCATTTCTTTATTAAGGGCATGTTATAGGCACCTGGGCAGACACAACAGAAAGGTGAGCTGGGTCCTGTCTGGAGGGGCTTGGCTCTCTCTGGCGCTGACGCCTGGCCCTGCCCCTGCAGGTTCTGCCAGGCGTGGATTTGGGTACGCGCTTAGTGTCAGCTGGAGTCTTACCCTTACGGCTGCTCTATTGGTTTCTCCGCCATTACCCAGCAGTTTGTGTGCTCATTCTCCTGCAGTTTGGATGTGCAGTGGGGCTTCCTTAAATTAGCCTCAGTCGCTACAACTTGTAAAAAGTTTTGCTGAAGCAAATCAAGCAGCTTTTCCCCTATCAGCCACCGGTGTTGGTGGTGGTGGTTGCTCACTTTTTCCGTTTGTGGCAATGTTTCCCATCGCACCACTGCGTGCTCAGTAGTTTTACCCCCAGGTAAAATTGGGGTACCCCCAGGTACAGCCCAGCCAGCCGCCAGAGCACGGACGCCTGCCAGGGTGCTTCTGTGTGTGCGGTGGCTCCGTCCTCCTGGTCACTTCTGCTAAGAGGCTGGATAAGAAGTAATAAGAAGTAAGCAGAACCAATCATTGAATTTGGTAGGTCCTTGAACATTGCTAGGACTCACTTGTTGAATTGGAGTCTGCTTTCCTTCTCTCATGTGGCTATTGCTTTCTGTCATTACGAGGGAGAATCACGACTTGGAGATGTCTCTAGATGGTGCTGACTTTTCACGCTAGGCATCACACGGGCTGTGAAGGTGATCAGGCTTCAGGGTGGTTCAGGGGTGCTGTGAGGGGGCACAGGACCCCTGAGCCTCAGAAGGGAGTCTGTCTGGTGCCTTCCCTCACCGGCTCTGGCTTCTGTGGCGGGATTGCCAGGCCAGGCACCTGTCCCTCTGCCTGGTTGCAGTCACTCTGGTTATCTCCATTTCCTTATTCGAAGACGGAGGTTATATTGCAACGTCAGCTAAGATCGAACACTCTGGAATAATGATGTTGAACCAGTATGCTGTAAGAATTTTTAAAACGTGAAATACCTGAGTATTTGGTGAGGCGCACTGACCTCTTGTCCCTTTGATTGTCAAAAAATGCCAGCAGCCAACACTACAATAGCCGCTCAGTGTGAATGAATCAAAATTTTACCTATTTTTGTCATATTGTCAAAAATATGTATTTTTTGGTGTGCCACAGAATTTTAGTAATGAGTTTATGTGTGCCCTGAGATGAAAAAGGTTGAAAATTGCTGGTGAAGAAAATAAAAAGTGCCAGGACTCAGGCTCTTGCCATTGCTAGAAAGTCAGTTCAGCTCACACTTGAAGTAGTTTTAAGAATAGGAAAAGGCGGCCTCGGTTTCTCCAGGTTGACTGGACAGGAAGCGGAAGCCAGTAAGGGGGGAGTTGTAACTTTACACCTGCAGTCAGCGTGGAGTATGAGCTATGCTCCTGCAAAGAGGGGGCCCTGCGCTGCCTGCATTTTCTTTCTACTTTTTGAAGTAAGATCCTAGGTTTGGGAGCAGCGATGGTAAACAGGCCCCCACCCAGGGGACAGTCGTCACTTCCTGTCAGAGCCTGGTGGAGGCTGAGCGGCATGGGGGGAAATTGTGGACCTTCCCTTGGTCCTGAGAGGCCCACCCCAGCTTTTAAGACGGAGCAGCCTCAAGAGGCAGCATTTAATTAGATGGCGTGTTGTCACTGTACATGTTTGCTTTGTTCTGTGACACAGCCTTACAGCTTCAATTTCTCTGCCAGCGCAAGTCATTTGGTCCCTTCCTCCAAGTGACACAGGCTGTGCATGAGTTGGATACAGCCTCATTATTTCTTTGGTGCTAAAGATGGGCTCTTATGTTTCAATTTGATCAGGCAGCTTGCTATTATTTACTGGGAAGTTTTGAAAGCCTTTGGTGTAGGCATTGATAAGGTGATTGGCCCACCCCTCCTGTCAGATTCTAACTCTAAGAACAGAAAATACACGAGCTCTTGTCCATAATTGGGCTTCTCGGATATTATTGCCAACCTCAATTTAAGGCAGAGACCCTAGGTTTTCCTCCAGAAACATTTCTGCTGTTCTCGCTTCCCAGAATATCCAGTGTGTTCTTTTCCAGAGCACCTCACCAGGAGTTTGGCCGCTTATAACATCTTAGACTCAACTTGTTTATCTTGGTGAACTTTCCTGGCTAGCAAGAAAATCCATCATTACGCTTGGGTCCAAGTGAGGAAAAAAGAACCTTTTGTATTTTTTTTAAGTCTATGTATGTTGTTAATTTTTGTAGGTGGGAGCTGGCCATGAGCACAGTCTCTGGGTTAACGATAGAATATGTACGTGTGTATATTATATATACATTATATTATATTGTATATTGTTTATATACGTATATATATGTATACACACACATATATAAACTTTTAATGATGGAACATATCAAACCTACCCAGAAGTAGAGAGAATAGTATAACGGACCCCCTCCAGTATCCTTCATCCCCCCTCAGTAACTAACACACAACAACGCATCTCGTTTGTTCTCACACCGCATCATCCCCGAAGCTGTACCTTATTGAAGCAAATCCCAGAATCATATTTAATCCATAAATGTCCCTCCCAAACTTCTAGACTCCTTTGAAAACATAACTATAATACCTATATCCCACTTAATAGTAATCTATCTCTTCATACTTTCCCTTGTCCAGCAAGTTTGCCCATTTCCCTAGTTTGTTTGGGTCCAGGTTCAGAGGAGGCCCACACAGTATGTCCGACTGGTGTGTCTCTTCATCTGTCCTCCCCTCTCCTGTGTTTTTCTCTCTGAAAACTTTGTTGAAGAAGCTGATTTGCTTTCCTACTAGAATTTCCCCGACAGTGGTTTTGGCTGCTTGAATGCACATGGTGTCGTTTAGCTATTTATCCAGACTGGGGTCATCAGTGTGCGGGGCATCATCTGATTCAAGTTCAGTTTCTTTTTCTTCCCTTTTTTGGGGGTACATATGTCTTGTGGGTGAGGATATTGCTTTCATCAGGAGGTACACTCCCGTGGTCTCTTTTTGTGGTGTGAAGATGATTGGTAGGTTCTGTCCTTGTCTGCTTGGAACATCCGTTTATAATGTTGGCCATCAGCTTTCTACCTGGCACTGGGCACGTGTAGATACAAAAGATTTCAGCACAAGTCCCCGGAGCTGGGTTTGCTGGGTCAAAGGGTAAGTGCACCGCTGGTGTCATTAGATATTTCCAAATTCCCCTCTCTAGGGGTCGCTCCACTTTGCACTCCCAGCACTAATAGGTGAGTGTTCATGTTCCCACGGCTTTGCCAACAGAATGTGCTGTCAGGCTTTTGCGTTTTTGCCAGTCTCACAGGTGAGAGATAGTATCTCAGTGCAGTTGTCATTTGCATTTCTCCCGAGGCCCTTTATAAAAGTCTTCAGCAAAT